TGCAAAAAAATAAGAAATCAGGAAGGGGGCAAACACTTTTTCACACAACTGTATCTGTTGAAATGTTGTCATAAGGTTTTGTGAGTCAGTCAGTCTGTTCAGCAGAAAGATAGCAACCTGTTTTTTGAGAAAAGTCTGCACACTGACTCCAAACCACAATATTATATATTTAAATAGGCAACATTTCCAGCCCAGTCAGATCTTCAGTGGGCCATGAAACTCCAGTGGTGGAAATAAACTAAGAACATTTACTCAAGTACTGTACTTAACTAAACATGTAAGGTATTTGTACTCAAGTCTTTTCTTTTTACTGCTACTCCTACATTCAGAGGGACGCATTATACTTTTTACATCACCACAATTATTTGACAGTTTTAGTCGTTACTTTACAAATTAAGTTTGTTTTTTTTGGACACAAAAGTAAGAACTATGAATTAAATGACCCAACAGTATAGACAAGTACAGCTGAAATGCTTATTAAATTAATTAGTAGATTGACAGAAAATGAATCGTGAACTATTTTGACAATCCTAGTAATCAGTTTTTAAAAAGAATTTTAATTTATTTTTTATAGCTTTCTTGTTTGGACAAAACAAGCATGGTGATGGTGTCATTTTGGTCTATGAGCACTTGATTCAATCAATTGATTAATAAAGTAAAATTAGTAAAACATTCACCTTTGCAAATAAGTTACTGTCGAGATGTGCAGCTGCTGCATATGCTGCACAACATCTGGCCTCAACTGCCTCATTGGACCAAACGAGGGACATATAAAGCGTATAGTGATGCCTGCGAAAAAAACCATGAGCATGTCCAGTTTAAAAGACACCACACAGTCTGTCTGTGGCTGGATATGAAGCAAAAGATTGAACTATAATAACAAACAAAGAAAATACTTACTCCACTGTAGCGCTTTAAGCATTGATAAAGCTACTTTATTAAAATGCAGTGCACTCAGCATTAGTTTCACGTATTTACAAAAGTTCAAGTAATGAATGGCAAGTGATATAATGCTCAACTTTAAATCTTCTCTATAAAAAAGAAGGTAAAAAACATCTCTTTAATTAATGAGATGGTACCACATTGACACAGTCTTCTACCATCTCAAACAGGGCGTGATGTGGGCCAGTACGCCGGGCAACCTCACTGGCCGTCTCCCCGCTGCTGCTGCAGAGCTCTGGCTTCAGGTGACGTTGAGAGAGGAGGAGCTCCAACGTGTGAGGAGAGTCTGTTCTGAAGGCGGTGGTGTCGGAGGCGGCCAAGTGCAGCGGTGTGAGTCCACCGTTGGTCTGGGCGTTCAGTTCGGCCCCATGTTGCAGAAGAAAACTCGCCACAGTGACGCGGCTCCAGCGGCAGGTGCTGTGAAGCGGCGTCCAGCCATCGATGGTGCGAGGGTTAACCTTAGACCCGGCGGCGATTAAAGCAGAAACCACATCAACATGGCCGCTGTATGCTGCACGATGCAGTGGAGTGTATCCGTCCTCATCACAGCAGTGCACCAGCAAGGGATCAGCGGTTAACAGCCTGTGGACTGTTGCAAGCTGAGAAAAAAAAATGCAAAAATGCCGAGGGTCAGGAAAGTACAAACTAGAAGTCTCATGAACCTATTACAATGATTATTCTAACCCCCTTCCCAACCTTTCATGTTGGTAACTGTCACCTCTCTGTACATAACATTTTCAAACTGAATCATCTTCTATTCCGGTCACACTTATCCTGAGTAAATACATACATAAGTATTTGTAGAGTAGAATTTCTTCCTTCATCTGTATGAAGATCGCATCCCAGCAAAGAGGGGTGCCTGAACCTTTGTTCAAAGTAGGGTTGGCTGAAGCTTTTTGCAATCTATTCAGTTTCAGTTACACTAATAAACATTTATCAAAGAGTGGGAAAAATGGGGTGGACAAACATAACAGCACTCCCTGAGGCAAAAGACTATGCAATTCTCTGCAAATATTTCACAGAACTATCAAATTGTGAAACCTCTCAGGGTATCTTTGGGTTATTTTGGTGGGACATAGATGAGGAGACTCACTAGACAGACGCAATGAGTACGCCGCAATTACAGGACCTCCTTGAGAAAGAGGAAACAATACAGTGATTTGAAGACACACGTGGGTCTTAAATGCAAAGTCACAGAAATGATCATAAAGCAGACTTGCAAAACATAGCACAGCACTAAACAGACGTCACGCACAAGACAACTCTAGTGGGTTGAAAACGGTAACATATCAACGGTATTAACTGTCCAGAGTTATTGTGTATATGAACTGTGATTAAACTAGGTTGGAGCTGATTGTTTTCCTCACCAAGGGAAGCATTGTGTAATTATCCAGAGGGTGCTTAGTATATTTCATGGCCTCAACACCGTTGAGAGGTTTCAGGGTTTAGGAAATGTGTTTTCTTATTGTCAACTGTTCCCTCTGTGCCATGTATTGCCTCATGATGTGCAAAGTCACGCAGTTTTTCAATTATTCATCCTATTCTGCATTTATTTACAACTCAATGTTGACCTGCTGCAAGGGACAGCTGTATTCTCTGTACAGAATAGTGTTGAATGTGTGGCTAGTACCAACAAAAGGTTTAAACAAGTCAGATTTAATGGCACTACATCAACTTCTTTTTTTTTTTTTTTTTGACAACCACAAAATAATTTTCAAAATTTTTAAAATTACAAGAATTATCAACCATGATATTAGAGAGTGAGAATGATTTACAACATATTCATGATTTTCCTTTTTTTGGTAGAAAGAAATAATTAGTAAGTCAAAATGTTACCGCGGACTTTTTGCTGCATCAGATCTTAAAAATATGAGATTTTGACTCTTAAAAAGCACATCTGAACACCAGCTGAAAGAAGACAAAAGAGGATGTCTAACATTAAATCAACCACTTCGATGTGTTCATAAACTTCTTACAAAATACAAAAGTGAAGATTAAAAAAAAGGCAAATCAAACCCCGGCTCACAGCTGCAGTCCAGACCACTTGAGGGAAAATTGTTTTTTTCCCACATCTTTCTTATCCTACAATCATTTTTAGTTCAGTCTCTGCTTCCAGTTGTTTTATAATAGTCAATCTATCTGCGTTGGACCGTTGGTCCTATAATAAAGAGAAGACATTGGAACGTGCCACATTGGGCTTTGAGATTTTGTGAGTTTTATCAGCGAGCACTACATCGAACATGTGCTAGTTCTTTTAATCAAATTAGCACAACATAGACAGAAAATGTGTGGTTTTTACTTGTGGCTCATTGCTTAATGTTTTGTCTTTGCACAGTCTCTTCAGCAACATTAAATCAAGAATCCTCCAACATAAATACTTCACTGTGTAAAGCCCATTTGGTGGAGTAATGCTGGGTCCTTTATTCTTAAGCAGCATGGCAACCAGTCTCTCACAAGCACATTTAATACGCTCCGATTGCTTTTCATTAAACTTAATCAATGGATAATATCTGATATCCGATAGCAGGCACACAAACAACATCCAATTTGTATTAAATAACCACATACAGTTTACACGCACCGTCTTTGCTCATAACAGTTTTAAGAAATGCTTGTTGGGGTGAGATATTGTTCGTCCTTGCGAGTGCTCACTCTTTCAATACAGCCAACATCTTCACACAGTGTGCTTTGTCAAGATACACCACTGTATATACTGTGAGACCACATACATGTGGACAAGGACAAGTGGCAAAGCCTTACAATTAAGAAGCTGGAGCCATCAAATGTTCGGCATCAATCTTAAGAGATAACTTAATAAAACAATAAAGGGATTATCAAAAGATTGAGTTTCTTTTTCTGTTGATCAACTACATGATTAATCAACTATTCATTACTGCTTTCAATGGCACCCAAACCAGACAGAGTAGGAGAAAAACATGATCCAGAGACTAACGCTTTTAATGTAACACTTAGGTTTTGCTTTTTTTGTGTTTTGGCACGAGGTGAGTCTTAACACGCTCCACACCAGGCTGAAAACAGTTCACGCCTAAATATTAACTGAAATAATCTCTCACTGACCGGTTGCTTTCACTTCCATGGCACTAAAAGGTGAAAGGCCGAATAACAGTCCTATCAGCTTGATCTCCTGAGCTCTTAAATACATATTATTTCTCAATTAAAATGTAATAATAAAAAACGTGTTTGAAGCACCATTTCAGACTTTGGCTTCTATTGTTCAATAAAAAAAAGGTTTGGCAGAAAAACATACATCTTTCTCAAAGTAAGGTATTGAAAATGTATCGTTTTGAAATCAACACTAGAATCAAATAGATTCAAATGATACCCACCCTTAGTTTATCTGTATTAATTTTAAAAGAAACTAGGGGGAGCCCTCTTCAATGTTTAGTCTTTGGTGGTCAGGAAGGAGCATAAACCTTACGACTGACTAAATACACAAGACAACAGTTATTACCCTGCAAATCCTGTGAGAACACCAGTTGTTAGATGATCTTGTACCGACACAACCAGCAGCTTGCATGGTGTATATGCAGTGCAGTTTACAGGTTAAAGGCCCAAGAAACAGAAAACGCACAGCTTTTGGGTGGGCAATGTAGACCGCCTACAGAGGGAAGTGGAGGTGAGTGAACTTTGTAAAAATGAGGCACACCTCAGGGAAAGCTGTTTGTGTACTAGTACGTCTCCTTTGGGCAAAACACGAGAGACGTCATCAATCCGCATATGTCGAATATGTTTTTAAAAAAGTCTTTATGAACAAGACTGGCAGTGACATTATCTGAACAGTTGAAAAAAAACATCTTTACAGATCACACACTATATTATTTACACCAACTGACCAGACCAGATCGGGTCCAATTAGTTGTCAAATCCAAATCATATTCAGAATCGGCCCAATAGTTGTACTGCATGTGTCACTTTCAGTTCATAACATACCGAACTGGATAGTATGAGGACTTCTGGATAGCAGCATGTCTTTTTATGAAAAGCTAAATGGACTGTAGACCTTGTGGATAATCCTGCTAAGTGGGCAAGAATACATTATGCTAAATCTTTTTGTAAATTATGGTAATTAGCTTGCTATTATTTCCATGCATACATTTACTTTGGGGGGGGGGGCTGCATGCAATGGTGAAAGCAGATTGAAGGTGTTGCAGGTACTGTTATTTTTTACTATATGATGTAGAAAGAAATTACAATTTACATTTAACCCTCATCCTGCCATCAGACCCCAGAGGTCTACTTGTTGTCATATCTCACAGGTGCTTTATTCTATCATTCAAATTGTACCTAATGACTACATGTGAGAGTTTTCTGTTTATATTTGAATTACTGCTTTTAAAATAGTTATTTTGAATACCAATGCATTGAGTTCCTAGGGGAACATATTACATTTCACTGTAACTTTCCCTAAGATGTCTGTTTTTATCTTCAGATGACATTAATTACATAACAAATAATATTTTGATGAGTACATGGTACGTTAAATATGTTGGCAGGATGAGGGTTAAATGGTGCCACAGAAATATTTGTGAATGTTGACAAAACTTTCTAAATCATACTTATCTGTTTTGTTTAAAATTAGAAGAAAATGACAATTAACTCCATCGACAGCAGTTTACAGCCAATGTTTGTGTTTAGGAAGGAAAGATTCGCACGCACACCGTTATGCCAGCCGACTTACAGAAGTTGGATTGCTGGGCCTGTTTTCCGTGTTGTTGGATTAAAACACCGATACATATTTTGACATTTTATCTAGGAAATATTTGGACAAGTTTCTGCCAAAATCCCACAGCACACCGTGTCAGACATTCAGCTGCAGCTTAAGTTGACGTTTGGCAGCAGAAGCAGAACTGAACAGTTTTAGAAAGGCAGCTATAGCACATATTAAAAACCTGCTGGTCTGTGCTACACATGGTCGCTGGAACAATTTAACAGCAATTAATAAGAAAACTAGACGGGCACTCGGAAAATGCAGACAATGGTGCATTCACATGCTCCTCGTATTTCATTGCTTAAATAACACGTTAGCTGTTTGTTGTTTTGGGCGTCCACATGAATTTTCAGTTCATTTTCCTCAGTCAGGAACTAATTTTTCTGATTATTCCGAAACTACATGAATTCAGCACAAATGCCCTACCTTGCAATGTTAATGAAAGTGAAACGTACTGTAATGCGTGTACAAACAAGCAAACAAACAAACCAATTTCCTCTTTTGAGGAGGTAACTAACATTACTTACGCGTTGGTTTTCCGCTGCCCACAGAATGAGCACCTTTGGTTTGTCTTTGAGAGTTTCTTCTTTTTCTAGATACCACCCCTCACTGTGGTCCCCCTCCTCCTCCTCCTCCTCCTCTTCCACCTCTTCCTCCTCATCCTTGCTTCCGGTCCATAGGCTGCTAGCCCCTCTGGGGATCAGGTGTCCGTGTGTATTCAGCAGCTCAAGCTGGTTGAAACCTTCTGGAAACTCCATCACTTACTGTTTGTGTCACAGAATTCCAGACAGAAAGACACGGAGACGTCAGACAGAGACACGGACCTGACAAATGATAAATCAAAATCACAGGTCGAGCTGGTGTGAGAGAACGTTGACACTGAACTATTTAGGGCATTAAGGTTTAGTACTTTTACTTGAGTTGCCCTTGGATTGAATTTCACAAACCCCTGCTGATTCACTTCTATGTGCTTATTAATATCTTCTATCTAGTGACCATCAAAGGGATTTTATACATTCATTCTGTCACCGACAACCCTGCAGTTGTCATTTGTTAACTTTATTCTGAATAGACAACGTTGGTGTCCTTTTATAATCTCGTGTGAAAAAAAAAAATCATTATTTCTATTTAGTTGTATTATTTTGAATGTTTCATATGTAGGCCTATATATCACTCAAGGTGACCAGCAGCTTTCATTTTTAATAGTTACATTAAATCATATAATATTAACGCAGATGAATAGATAATGTAAATAGTTAGTTGCAGCCCTAGAATCTCGCTCTGACTTTTATTTTCCATTTTGTAATGTACAAATAGTTATTAAGTAAATCACAAGACGTGCACGACGTTAACGTTACTATTCACATATCTTGCCCGTTTATACCAATGTGGTTAGGTCATACACTAGAAATACCACTCAGTATAATGCAATACAGTTCAACGGCACCAGAAACTGAAGTCTCCAAAATGACTGGAGGCTAAATACATTGTACGTGAATCAACAACTCTTTAAACAGATTCAACTGGGCTGGTGTAGTGGAAAGCAGTGTGTAGCATTAGCTTTAGCTATCTTGACGTTAACTGTGTAATGTTTACGGCACCTAACTAATGAACTGGCAAATGTGTAACGTTGTTAAGAGCTGTAGATATCGTGTAGCCAGACGAGAGTACTTTGAGGAATAGACGCTGATATGAAAAAACTCTCCCTGACCTACTAGTTGTGTGGGTTCTTCGGGTTCCTTCTTCTTCTTCTTCTTCTTGTTTAATGGCGGTTGGCATCAAGTTTTATGGTGCATTATCGCCACCTATTGCTCCGGAGTGTGAATCAGACACAATATCCTTCCACGACGAATTTCTGTACGGCATGTACTGCCAATGTTGTAAAAGCCCCACTGCACACTCTCAATGTCTGTGCCTAAATCACAACCAAATACGCTGCCACTTAAACCATCTAAGTGGTGGTGGAATATATTCTCTCACTGAATAACTCAACATGCCCAGCAAGACTTTCTTTGGTAATACGTACATCAAAGAAGTACGAAATGAAGTACGATCGAGAGGCTCTCGGTTTTCTCAGTCCCCTTCTCACTGATCAACCTTTTAGCTTCTCCGTTGTTCTTCATCCTTTGCAAAGATTAGCAGGCTTCTGTCCTTCAAGTACATCGCAAACGTAACTTCCTCAAGTGCCAATATGAAGTTAATTGGATGGAAGTGACTTCCATCTTTGTTCAACTTGATGATCGATTCATCCTTTCGTTCTGTGTTATTGCCAAGCAATAGATTAATTGTAGGTCTCCTGCTGCTTGAAGTCTTTTGACATTGTCATCAGAATCCTTACGTGAACCACTAGATTGTTAGATTGTTAGAACATTAGACTCTTCCTCTTTTCCTGATAGTGGACCTGTTACCAGTCCATTTCACAGAGATTCACTTCTTTTGGATTTCCAGCCGACTGGATGTCTTGCGGCACATTGCTGCTTCTCACAGGTCGGGATTATATCCAGCAGCCTTCAAATAATATCCTGGAAATCAAAGAAACAGTTACATCCTGTTAGATCCAATCTGTAGGCTACTTGTAGTTTGAAGACCACATTCGTATGTATTGAATTTCATCCTACGTTATTTTTATGTCTGCCTCGTAAAACACTTTGATGCTCGTTTTGAAGTGCTATATGAATAAGCTTTATTATTATCAACCACACAAAATACGCTTTTAGTACGTAGTTGCACAATATGAAACTAATAGACAACAATCTAGTGTTAAATATTACAATTACACAGAAAATTAGGATTGTTGTCAAAATGATTCAGCTCTTTGATCGGGCAACAGCCAAGCGTTTCCCGTCATGCACTGGCTCTTGCAGTCGGTGAAGAGAAAACGCAGCCGCCTGGCTCTAAAATCTGAGGCCGACTCTAACTCGAGAGGTTATCGTTGCCCACGTGTGCATGATGTCAGAGTCGGGATCTTTTCAGACAGGTTGGACACAAATCTAACCGGTATGCATTGCGCGGTGATCGCCGGTGATCAATTCTGCGCAGGACTGGCTCATCTCAAACAAGCCTATTATATTTCTTAGGCGTAATCCATGGCAGTGAGGAACTAAATGGCCTTCTTTCGCAGTCTTCTTTTTTCACTGAATGTGGACATTTTTGCAGTTGGGTAGAACAAGTAACATATTACGATGAACCATGTGCAGAGCAAGTGACATAGTGATCTATAATACGTCCATACATAAGTCCATACTCATCATTTGTCAAAAGCTTTTGTTTCCATTCAAAGTGCAGATGGAGACTGGAGATCCCATCAAACCACTCAAACAACAAAAAAGCAGAAAAGGAAGACAGGCTAAGACTCAAATAGGACTGCATTAGTCCATATTAGCAACAAGTGCACTCAGTAGTAATCAGTCACCCTAGTATGAAAAACATACATCTTCTTCACAATAACAGGTACAAAATATGTGAATAGGAACACTATAATCTGCAGGTGTTTTTTCCGAATAACCCCCGTGTTTTCATCTCAGAACATATACACATGCAAAACTTTCCTGACATTGATTTTCATTAATGAGACTTTTTCAAATAAAAGGGCAATCACAACTCATAAACGGTGCAGTGCATATATGGACGATCTTTCTTATTGCTTGGATTTTGTTTATATAGCCCCATTGTAGTCCAATATGTAAAATGAATGCATACAAACACACAGTATGGAATTTTTTGATTAGTGGTTTCCATGTCCTCACACTTTCCACGCTTCATCATCATTCATCATAAGCATAGGTTGAGAATACCGATATGTGAGTGAATGGATATCCTGATATATTCAGAGAGACAGCGAGATCCTTCTTGTGGCACTGGCACCTCTGTGGCACTCTGTGGCACTCAGCGGCACTCTCTGTGGCACTCAGCGGCACTCTCTGTGGCACTCCGCGGCAAGCCTCAGCTGTGGCAGGCTAGGGGTACTAGTTCGGCACCCGTCAAGAAGCTGCGGAGCCGAGGGGGCGGAGCCACATTTCCTGAGACATTTCCTGAGAACACACGTTGTTGTTACAACAGGTCAGCTTCCGTAAATCAGTTTTATGATTTTAGTTGAGTCACCGGAACCACCCATTCTCTGTATGCATCCTTAGAGTAATTACGTTGTACTTTTTTGTTTCTCATTCATTTTATTTAAGTATGATTTTGCTGGTTTTGCAACAAAAGGGAACATAATACACTCTTTCCAAATTATTACTTTTACAGTCATTTACAACAATCGGCTAAAATAATGAAAATAAATCATCCGTTTTATTATCATTTAAAAGTATATATATATATATAAAAAATTAAATTTAAAATTAAAACCCATAAAATGTCCAATCCAAAAATATATGTCTGAAAATATCTTCACTCTTCCTCTGCTTATATGTATATGTATGTCAGTAGGTGCCACAAGCTGCCAGAGGGTGCCTCAGGGTGCCAGAGGGTGTGCCAGAGAGTGCCACAGGGTGCCAGAGAGTGCCAGAGAGTGCCACAGGGTGCCAGAGAGTGCCGCAGGGTGCCACAGGGTGCCAGAGAGTGCCCCCCTGGTCCGTGTATGTTTTGATAGTCTGTTTTATGGTTTATTTGTTTTTTCTTTTGAAGAGCAACGCAAAGTAAAACAGGTAGTCCGGAAGTAAGAATATGTCAAAATAAAAGTGAAGGTAATAGAATGACCGTATGCAAGAAAATGGTAACCAGGGTAACGCTAGAAGAAAAATAAATAAATATGAAAAAATAAACGTGGGCTGATGGGAGTATGTTAACAATAGTTGACTACATGCGATTTAATATTAATTTATCCATGTACACAGCAAGAATCAAGTTTTCGATTAATCTGTGGATTGTTTGATGCAATACAGTTTGTAATATAGTTTAATCAAAGTCATTTTTGTGTGTGCAGAGTTGTTGCTATTTATTCTTCCACCATATTGTGCTGCTGCTTGAGTGAATGCAGAGCATAGCCTGCAAAAGGAGACGCAGATTAAGTGTTGACCATTTCTACCACTAGATGGCAGTATACGTGTATTTAAACCATAGATTTGTTATATTTACCTGTGTCTTTGTTAATTGTGTTATTGATACAGATGTATTTAATGCAGGTTATTTCATCTGATATTTGATGTTGATGGTTAATTTGCAACCTCGTTGTATACATCATGTATTTACTTGTTATTTTTATGTAATAGAAAAGTGAGCATGTGTAGTTCATGAAGCAATAAATAATGACAATTGAAAAATAAAGAGACGTTTGGTTCATTCTTTTCAAACACTAAGCCTAATTTACCTACTAATGAAGTAATTGTCACACTTAAATCCTGAATTGACTGGTGAAACAGAAGAAGTTAAAAGGCCAAGATGAGAAGATATAATGTTGGTCAAATACTGTGGTCCAAATAAAATTACTTCAGTTTTATTGCCATTGAGATATAGAAAGTTTGACTCCAGAATATTCAAAAAATTCCTAATATTCAAAAAATTCCTAATCCCTCTGACTGCTGGCAGCACCCTCTGGCACTCTCTGGCACCCTGCGGCACTCTCTGGCACTCTCTGGCACCCTGTGGCACCTTGCAGCACTCTCTGGCACCCCAAGGCACCCCCTGGCAACCTCTGGTAGCTTGTGGCACCTACTGACATACATATACTGTACATATAAGCAGAGGAAGAGTGAAGATATTTTCAGACATGTATATTTGGATTGGACACTTTATGGGTTTTAATTTTAAATTTAATTTTTTTTATATATATATACTTTTAAATGATAATAAAACGGATGATTTATTTTCATTATTTTAGCCGATTGTTGTAAATGACTATAAAAGTAATAATTTGGAAAGAGTGTATTATGTTCCCTTTTGTTGCAAAACCAGCAAAATCATACTTAAATAAAATGAATGAGAAACAAAAAAGTACAACGTAATTACTCTAAGGATGCATACAGAGAACGGGTGGCTCTGGACCTGGCTCCGGTCCTGACCTGTTGTAACAACAACGTGTGTTCTCAGGAAATGTCTCAGGAAATGTGGCTCCGCCCCCTCGGCTCCGCAGCTTCTTGACGGGTGCCGAACTAGTACAGCTCGCCGGGCACAGCTGACGCATGCCGCGGAGTGCCACAGAGTTCCGCTGAGTGCCACAGAGTTGCCAGTGCCACAAGAAGGATCTCGGCCCTGCACTATATTCATTGTTTTCGCTTAGGTTGTTCACACAGATTATTAATTGACATGGTTTGAAGTTGTGACTCAGACGGTGATAAAAAATTATCAGTGATGAATTTGGGGCTCTTAACTAATTCTAAATAATACATTTTATTCTCCACATCATGTTCATGGGCAAAATCAGTTTTCAGCACAGCTAATTTGCAGAACAATGTCCGACACTAGGTAGCAGGCAACTGCATCTTTGACTTAGATAATCACTGTATAATACTTAATAAATATATGTTAAGGGCCCTACTTCAAAAGATCATTACCAAAAATGTATTTGAATCATTCTCTTTTTTTTTTACTATTAACACTATTCAGACGTTGATGACATTTTAATTACAGTTCCACTTTACCCACCAGATTAGCAGTAGACAAATTTACACTTAAATCAAGTAGTAGAAAAAACAACGTCATGGTTCCTCTTGTACAAAAGTTGATCAAATAATGTGCAGTTGTCCACTTTGACCGGCTAGTACCTTTTCACTACTGTATTTTATAGGTGGTGACAATGACTCAATCAGGCACATCAAAGACAGGGTGTGGAGGAAACTCTCTCCCTCACACACACACTTTTTTTTTTCACCGTATTATCCACCGTATTTTATCTAAGATGTGTTATTTAAACTGTTACTATTTTTGTGTATTGTCCAAATACCTTTTAGCAACGTTGATGCTTTGGCAAAATTGTTTTTGAAACGTTCATGCAAATAAAGCAAAAAAAAAAATTCCCTCTCTCTCTCTCTCTCTCTCTCTCTCTCTCTCTCTCTCTCTCTCTC